TCTATTCTACGACAGTTTACAGTGATTTCGTGTCACTTAATCGAATGCGGAAATTATGTTAGGTTAGTAGAAACTGAGCAGTACTGAAAAATATACAAAATGATACTACTTACTATTCGGTACCCGACTGCTTTATATTGAATGTAAGTTCAGTGATGTGATATAGTTATTTTAAAAGTTTTTACCTAACTGATACTAGCAATTCAATTACATTTGCTCTATGGTTAGAATGATAGAGTCGTTAGGTGTTTTATTTGGAGTGAAAAGAATAAATAAAACGTTAATGTAGTTTAATGTAAAACATATAAGGATACTGTTTGCATTTCAAATTATTGTCATAAATTTAGGCTAAAAGTAGGTTAAAAGTATCAATAATATAAATCATATCGGTTGAATAAATAATTCAAAACTTAGATGTATGGTATAATTTCGGCTTATATACATGAATATACTTTTTATTTATTGCGCAACATAGAAGCTTTTGTAATATATTGTGGTCTTTGTAGGAACTAATGATTCCTTTGTACTTGATGATTGCTTGATTTCGAATTCCAAATATAATACGTTCTTTCGTGCTCATCTAATACTTCTTGGTTAAATCGCGTTACTTCTGGGATTCCTAGTTTGTATTATAATTCAAATACTTCATACTACCATATATATGTTTCATGGTAAGAAATATAAGCTCTAACTTAGAATCCTGATGGTAAGCGGAAAAGAGGAATGCCAAAGAACAAATTACGCCAGGAAATTGAAGCACATATGAAAAGGATGAATAACAACTGGTAAGAACTGGAAAGGATTGCCCAGAACAGGGTTGGATGGAGAATGCTGGTGGGCGGTCTATGCTCCTCCACAAGGGGTAATAGGCGTAAGTAAGTAGGAAATATGAGGCTATCTAATTATCCAGGAATTAGAAAATCTTCCTAAAAAGGAATTTCACTTGAGTAAGCGCACGTATGTACGTGAGCTTTTAAGTTTTCCAGTTGTTCATGTTAAAGACTGTGTTTATTAATCAGTCTTTATTAGCATATGTATATCCTTATTGAATCATCTTGACAATGTCTGTCATTATTTATGCTCAGTACCTCAGTGAATATCAAACTGGAGAATTTGTAAATCCAGCTCACCAGTTCAAGGTAGAATGAAACATTCATGTCGGATTCCATTACTAACCACAATTCAAAACTGCTAAAATGTGTGAATGTACTGGTTTAATAATAACTTCAAATCAAAATATTCCCCCCAAGGAATTATACATACAACTGGTAGGTTAAAATCAGAACAAAAAAATAACATTTTTAATCCATGAAACCTGTAGCAACAACTAAATCAAACATAAAAACCATCATGAAGAAATAACATTTTTGACTAATTAAACCTCATAGAAATTAAAGAAAACAAATCTGTCATTTTATTCTTTGATAATAATAGAAACTACGCATTACAATAAATGATTCGTCTTTCTTTTAAAACGAAAATCGCTTGTGTGTGTATGCAATTGTATGTAGCTGTATGATATGAATCAAATGCTTAAGTTAGATACATATGGTCACAGTGGCAAATGTTTGAATTCAAAAATAGAACTAACATGATAGACATCTATTACATAAGAAGGTATCATTGTAGAATGATTATATATATATATATATATATATATATATATATATATATATTGTTTGCTAACAAATCTATTTCATTTTTGAAAGTCTGATTTTGAATTAAATGAAATGTAAGATGATATTTTTGTATTCTGTTAAATTTTTCAACTCAAAATTTTCAGGAGGGGGTTTTGTGGAGATTTTAGTAATTTTATATGGTTGAGATCATGAGTCAATTGAAGCTAGACCACCATGGAAAACCTGGAAGCACTAGACGGCCGTTTTGTCCTATTGGGGGACTCTTCAGCAGTGCGCATCCACGATTTTGACTGACGAGTTTCGAACGCAGAATCTATCAGTCTAGCGCACGAGCGCTTAACCACTAGACCACTGAGCCAGCATCCAATGTTGTTAATGTCCAGCTTCAACCAATCCACTAAATTGAGCATATTTGTTTTAGAAATCTGCTTATTTTAATATTTGTATTATTTGAGATTAGACTAGATTACAACATTATACAGCCGTAGAAATAGACAAATCAGAGCACAGTTGTACAGAAATCTTTTATAACATTAGAAACATGAAGCGATTGTAAGAATTAGTTTAAACTTACAATAATCGTTTTGAATAACAAACTGTAATTATCTAACAAAGAAGAAATCAACTCAGTTTCAGAATGATCTAGTAACTGTGTTAAAAGTAAATTCATACGCACTTTTTTAAACACCTTTAAAAGATCCTTATATTTACTGTTAATAATGATAGATATCTCTTTTATTTTTATGGAACCTCAACATGGCTGAGTAAGTAGAAGCATCCTTTGGTTTTTATTCAATATGTCGTAAGTGATATTTAGAATGAAAACTGTAACCAACGATTATTGTTGGATCTATGAAGTCATAAATACATATAAAATCAAAGATGAAAGTAACAGTTATCACATCAATTCCATTACTTCATTTTTGTCTTTCAGTTTTCTTAGAAAAAATCTTTAGAAAAATTCAAAGTATCAAAAGACGAATAAAATGAATTCAGTTTCTCCGTCAAAAATCTCATTTCAAAAGGGATACATATATTCAAAATATTGCTTTCATATCAACTATACCTGAAAGTAAGAGTTAAATGAACATTTTAATTCTCATTATGGTGTACTGATATATTCAGGTTTGAAGACCTTACAAGTTTTATTGCTTGTGTTCCTATAGAAATGTAATTTATTTATGCAAGATTACGTAACAAATGATATTTCATAGTAACAGATAGTAGTATTAACTAATTGTTCATTGAATCATCTCAATGTATTAGTGAACTAAATGTTTCTAACACATTGCTAATATCGTACATAATGATGAAAATAAAAATCCTAATTGCATATCAATATAAATTCTAATGTTGGATACTTCATTAACTAGATTCATTAAGTTGATGAAATAAACAACAACATTTAAGACTCCTGTATTTAATTAATTAAATAAAAATTTATGAATGAATCAGAGCTGTAGTGAATTCTTTAGTGAATTCTCATGAGTACACAATGAATATAAATTGATTTCATCTTTCTTTTTTTCTTCAAGTGAGGGATATTTAATAGAATAAAAAAGGATTGTATCATATTAAACTATAACTTTTCATTAGTCATATAATATTAAAACAAATGATCATAAGTTATGATAGTAACGGTTTGGTGATTTTAGACGTTTTTGTTTTGAGAAATGATTTAGAATAAATTTATTTGGAAGTTTGTTGAATGAGCGTATCACCATTTTCAAAGACTCTTTGGAATTAGGTAATGTAATTTCATTTAAGATAGACGATATTTATTTAGCTGACACAATAGGTGTTCTAATACTTCAACGTTTATTACAAGAATAATCGAATAATAGATAGGACCCTAATGCATAACAATGAACTATGGTTTGAAAGAAATATAAGATCTAACTGTGACTAAGACTATCAACCAGTTACTACAGAGTTTTTAGCACTCCTTAAAAAAATATCTTGCATCTGATATTAGAATAAATCGCGTAAAAAAACCATAGTAATTGTTCTAAAAATCATATAAGAAACGTAACTAATAAATACTAGGTTTTATATTTGTTATTTATTGAGGCAACCACTAAATTGAAAAGATCTAATCTAGCTTTTCCGTTATTCGATTTTCTATGGTTAAAAGTAATCAACAAGAAATATCAAACACAAATATCAATCCGAGCTCACTTTTATGACATGTCACATAAAGAGTTTATGAAAACTTTTGTTGAGATATGAACAAACAGTTTAACACTAGTTAGGCGACGAGTTTATGGAAGATATTAAAAATAAAATTTATCTGCTATAATCTCGATCAACTTTTGATCTATAACTAATAAAGTGTATGGAATTGTCAAGATACAGAAATGACTATACGAACAATGGGTGATTATCCTGTTGACCGATTCAAATATATTAGTCATCGCTGTATTCCTAAACAACGTAGTGTACATTGTTTGGCCATAACATTATATGACATACTGTGTATATGGTTATTTTATCGTAACAAAATAATCTACTGTCAAGAAATTGGCCTCATATGTTTAGCCTTAAATCAACTTTTGAACGTTAATAATTCCGATTGCTTGAAGATTACAAACCAAATTATATCCCTCAAAATAAATCCAGTGTACGAGGATGTATGTATAAAGCTAAATAACCTCAGCCGTGATCAACAAGAAAGTATTTCACAAATAACCAGAACAAAATGAAATCATGAACCATGTAAATAACAAAATAATAATTGGATGATCGAATGCTCAAATAAAACCAATGTCTTTTTTAAAAAAAATTCATATTTATTTGGGAGATTTCACTGAATAACGAAAAAGTTCTCATTAGGGTAGTACATTGTGTCAAAACTAGAAAATACTAATTACCTAAAATTGAAACATGAATCTAATAATATCTAGTGTATAAACTATAAATTTCAAAGATTTCAAAGATTTTAGTAATATATGATATCAGAAAGGGGTTTTGTGGATATTATGGTAATTTCATAGTTGAATTCATTAGTCAATTGAAGCTGGACCACCATAGAAAACCTGGAAGCACTGGACGGACTTTTCGTCCTATCTTGGGACTCATTAGCAGTGCGCGTCCGCGATCATTCCCCTCGAGATTCGAACCCAGGACCTATGGGTCTTGTGTGCAAACGCTTAACCACTAGACCACTGAACCGGCATCCAACGGTGTGAATGTCCAACTTCAACCAATCCACGGGATTGCGCCACCGTCCACCATTGTTTTCAGTGAGTTGATATCTCCCAACAGACCTGGTTGAACTCCACTAGTCACTGCTTCTCACTGGAACTCCAGGAAATACTACATTATATTAAACCAAAATATAATTTCTTTTTTTCAACTTACTGTATAAAAATGTTTCTCTTCTCTATCTGGAATTTTCCTCGTACGAATAACATATTGCTTATAAGTTGAATGAATTCCAATAGCTTCATTAAATAAATTATATGATTGTTGAGTTTGTTGGTGTGTAAGAAAATTTGTACTACCAGTTTCTTCAAATGAAAACATATCATCTTCTTTAATTAAATGACAACGAATTTGTTCAATTGGTGAATCATCATCAGTTACATGAACTAAAGCAACTATAGCTCTTTGTGGTGTTTCCACTTCCGGTAATGAAATACGTCCATCAGATAATCGTTTACCATTATTTAAAAATACAATTTTAGGTGGATTATCATTTACATTAATTATTCTTATTTGTATTTCACAACGGGAACTTAATATTGGTTGACCATGATCGTTAGCAACTAAATGAAATCTTAACATATTTAAATATCTTTCAGCATCTAATGGACTAATTATTTGTAATGATCCCTTATAATATGTTCCTGCTGGATTATTCGACTGTTGTGAGGGAGAATTGGGAAATCCACTGTGACTGTACAATTTTAAGTTGGAATTTTGACTTGGTTGTAATATAATACGGAAAAGATGTTGAGCTTGCCCAGTAGGATCATCGATAACTATAGTCACTCTACCATTATCTCCTACATCACGATCGATTAAAATGAAGTCAATGATCGCTGAATTCACTGAATTTTCAGCAACTTCAGCACGATATGTGTTTTGTTCAAATGTTGGATGATTATCGTTAACGTCGGATATTTTAATAATAATACTGACAGATCCAGTAAGAGCCTTGTTCATATTTGGTGTATTGCTAACTGGGATATTTCCACCACCATCAACAGCGATTAGTGTAAAGGAATATAAATCAATAAGTTCACGATCCAGCCCTTCTGTTATAGTCAAATAAGGTTTTCCCAAATGAGAATTTAAATTTATACTACTTGGTATTTCATGAACACCACTAATGAAATCATTATTTAAATCATTTGAATCTGAAATGCCTAATCGAAAATGACTTTGATTCCCATGTATCCAATTAATCGCACGGTATTCCGCTACATTAAATTGATCACTATCTGCATCAAAAGCTTGAGGTAACCATATCTTCTCATCCAATTTAATATCTTCTCTTATTACGATATATGGTGTATGAAGCGGCGGAAATCGTGGCGGATTATCATTAATATCTTGCACAGCTACTTGAATATAGAATGGTGTAGGTAATTCTGTTGGGCTTGTAATTATATTTACATGCAATAGTTTACAACAAGCTCCAGGTAAACAAACTTGACTAGTATCACTGTAAGATGCAATCGACGGATCATTTCGGTTGACTGAGTGTCTTAAGGATTCAGTTTGTAAAAGACAGATCATTTCACGATCCAGCGGTTTTGCTAATTTAATCAAAAAGTCGTCTAAGATAAATGGCCAAAAAGTTTCTTGTTGATTCGCAAATGCTGTTATATTTCTGTTAGGCGATACCGATGACTGAGGTGACGATAATGAGTGCAAATGACTATTCATATGTCGTTCCAACATTGGTTTCAAATCAAATATCACAGTATTCAAAGGCATATTTTCCTGTACAGTGACACGTTCAAACAATTGAGAGATGCTGAATTTTAAAAATACGATAATTAAGTATAAGATAATTTGATGAATATTAAGTAGATTATATATCTTAACATCGATCATGGCTAATTGCTGGAAGATGGTTCGAAATTTGAAGAAATAACTGAATTTTATCCAAAAAATATTGTAATTCTATTCAAAATAATTGTTATTTTAGTATGCGGTCAGTTGGTTTCTTAACTGTGGAGACCTTGTCAACAATACATTGTCACCTTGTCATTATCTGAAATCAATAAAATTGGTTTTTAATAGTATTATAATCATTATACAAAATTATTGTGCTAAAAGTTATCCTTAAAGAAGTAATGCTTGTTGCATAATCCGGTTGTAGCATAAGATAAAACGTATATGTTTACATCAAGATGGTATGTGAAAATATGAAAGCATATATATTTTTTTCCAGCAGACTAATGGTTATGTGGCCATTGGGAACTATTGAAGTCATATAATCTATTCACACTGAGATACTTTACTTACGTCTGTTACCTTCAAGGAGCATAGGCCGCCGACCAGCATTCTTCAACCCACTCTATCCAATGCCTTCCTTTCTAGTTCTATCCAGTTGTTGTTCATTCTTCTCATATAATAAAGTTATTTAAATATAAATATAGATTTCGAACTACTACGACTGTTATTCCTAATCAAACTTTAAAAAAAAATTTATCCATTGAGTATATAAGTCAAGTAGTAGGCGTGTTTAATATATTTTAAGTTAATAATTATCTATCAATAGTTGTGTATACTTTACAAACATTGCTAAAATTAAATAAAATTATTAAGACTGAAGAGTTCATAGATTTTGTTAAATTTACGATTAGTTTTCATTTGAAACTGATAATTATGAATCTATTGAATAACAATGAAGCAGTAGATAGTTATTTTATTCTATTTTGTAATATCTCAAAGATGCTCACCCACTACTCAGTAGGAGAGCGAATTCAAAACAACAGTTTTCGTAACGCGTGTAATACTTTTAAACAACTTTCATCTAATTAGCAAAGTGAGAAAAGACGTTGGAGGTATATGGGACACAGATTGCGGAAATTATTGAACTGCATCATGACGCAAACCGTAATTTGGAATCTTCAAGACAAAATAAATAGAGGAAGAACAAAGAACACACTGCATTGGATGCATATATCAAAAGAATGAATAGCATTTAAAAACAACTGAAAATAATAGCTCAGGACAGAGTAGTCGGAAGATTCCTGGTCGGTAGCATGTTCTCCACGTGGGATAACAGGTGTGAGTGAATAAGTAGATAAACTTGAGTTCAAACGATCTAGGCGACAGGTAAAGCAATATCTAGTCAATCAATACCATGAAAAAAATATGTATTTTGTTCCACTAAATTTTGTCCGTGTAGATAATATACTGAACATTGAACCACCACGTAAAGAAGCAACAACCGGAAGTAAATTAAAAGCAAGGGATTGAATTTCAAGTAGATAGTTTCAATATTAAATAGACAAGAAAGTTTATTTGAAAACATACAGTATATATATGATAATAATAGTTACAATCATATTGATCAATGAACATATGTCATATGAGAAAATAAACAACAGGTTTTTAAAATACATTCATAAACTTTAGTCATTATGACTAAAGTATCAAAAAAATAGGGATTATGTAATATGAAATTATCGCAAACTTTGTACACAGAAAACAAATGAGACTTTTATCCATCAAACAATGAAGTTTCTGGAGATTTTATAACATAATTACAGTTATACTGATTCTCATATATGATTCTCATTTAAACATTAAAATTAAAAACACGAAGTTCAGCGAAGGGATCTCTTTTCAACGAATTTATTATTAAGCTGTACAATCGTACATATATATGGAAATGTTTTGTTAAAGTACTAATTCCTTGAGGAAATGTGAACAAGAATAACGAAGATGATGTAAGAGAAAGATTATAATACTAGATTACGTAATACGAGTAATAACAATAGATTTTGTGAATATAATAAGATGATTAAAATGAATAAAATAAAGGTCATTAAAGGTCATAGAGGTGTAAAAATAAATAAGGTCATATGATGAGAATATAAGACATAAGTAAAAGGGAAATGGAGTAATAATAATAAAATGATAATAATAATATTAAGGCAATTGTAACGATAGTGATAAGATGTACTTCTTTTGTACGCATAGTTCTAGTTGAAGCTTATGGATGGTAAGAGCTTCGACCAATTTACTTCCTAATTTAAGTCAATATTCAATTAATTTAGGACACAATCAATAAATAAATCAATAATCAACAGAGTAATAATAAATAAACACTGAATATTTTACAAATATTTCATAACGTAAATTCATCTGGTATAATTTAAGGAAATAAATACAAAGAAAAAAGAAACTCAATTCATTTATGGGTTTCCGTGGTTCGGGTATTTTTTTCTTTCTAGGTAATCAGAATTATATCACTTTGTTTAATTATTATGTTTTCTTTCCAATCAAAAAACTGTTATTTATCAAAGAAAACAAACTACGTAAAATTTTAATTTCTTTGGAAATAAAAAGAAAAAAGAATATTCTTCCTAATTTAGTTAAAGCCTGACTTTGACTTTACATTAATGAAATGTAATTAGTTAAAGAAGAAAAAAGAAAGAAACTGAATTTTAAATGAACGCCGATGAAAAAAAGACTTTGTATGATTCTATAAAAAAAGTTATTTAATTTTTGGTAAATTTTTTAAAAGTTGTGTAAAAAAATTTTTAAGAATAAAAAACAAAACTGATTTCTTTTTTTTGTTACGGCAAATGAGTTATAGAATGAAGTTCTCAATTCTAATGTTTATAAAATGTATATTCAAATAATATATTGATAATTGAATTCACTTAGTATTGTATGTTTGAAACTTCCCATTAATGTTTTGGACTACAACTGGTCAAGACTTGTAGCTGAGTGGCGATAGCGATTGAAGCGTAAGGTACTGAGTTCGAGACCCAGAGTAAACATCAACTCTGAGATGCAGGTAAATCCAGCTGATGAGTCAAAAAATAAGACGAATCGCGCGTCCTAGATTCCACTGCTAGCCACTATCCATCTTTGCTTATATTGATAATTGTTCATAAAATAATAATGTACCATTAAAGAAATTATTGTATAAAGAAGGGGAGTTGTCTTGTGTTGTATATTGATTGTTGAATATTATGCAAAACGTGAAAGTGGATTTTAAATGCTTGATTCAAACTTTCAATAAAGGTTACTATCACAACCGATTGTAAGCAAAGATGGTTAGTCGCTAGTAGTGGAATCCAATAAGAGCATTTTGTCCTTTGTGGGACTCATCGGCTGGATGTTCCCGCACATTTTGGATTCCACTGCTCCCATCTATGTTTATAATACTTTAAAATTAAGGCAATTTCGTAGCAATCTATACAGGATGCACATATGCCAATAAGAGATTGACTAATTACAATCCTAAATATCAATAAAAAGATTCAAACAACCAATACAAAAAATGAATTATCTCAGTCGATGTTTCATTTTATTAAAGTACATCTTCCCGTGAACACAATCGAAATTGAAATTCAACAAAAATATGTTCCTTTTCGGTGAGTTTTTCAATCATGGCTCTACACTTAATATAAATAAACTTAACAATTGAATATGAAATTAATACTAATACTTTACAGTCCATTTATAGTACGTCTTCCAGAAATCTAGCGTGTTTGTAGAAATAATTGTGAATTATCAATAAAATAAATGCGAAATTTAGTCGTTTGATTATTTATTCACATAATTTACTTAAGTATGGAGATATGTGATGAAAATTTTAGTTCAGTTTCGGGGATTAATTTGAACGAGCTCTCCTTGTATATCGAATCAATATTAAAGTTGTAATTAATGTAAATCTGATTTTAAGGAAGATATCTTGAAGAACATTATATTCGTCATTTACTTCAAGGTTTCATATGTTTATATACATCGAAGGCAATTGGACTTGCACTAAGATATGTAACTTAAGATTTAATAGAATATTTTCACGGTACCATTTTTCCTTCGGTCAGTTGTTTAGTTAAATAACTCTTTGAAAAGTTCACTTACATTATTCATTTATTGTTCCCATAAAAAAGTGTAATCTCTATCAATAATTTACCAGTTGATTAACTTTTTTCATTCGTCATCTTATTCATAGATAACAATAGGGAAAGTATATACTACTAACTGACCTAAAACCATTTGGTTAGTGTTGATTTTAAAAACTAGCCAAAACATTTTATTTATAATAATCTAGAGCCTTAATGATAAGTTAACTTATAAGAAGCTTCTTATAGAATAATATTTACTATTGTTCATGCATTTTAGCCAACTAATGAATACTGTAAAATTATTCATGACGATAGCTCGATTTCGAAGGTAGTAAACAGCAGAGATGTTCTAAGCTACTCTGCTAAAAGATATATATGTATAGTGTCGATTGAGCCTATGATAGATAGAACAAAATTCTCTTCTTTTGTATTCTTCAAATATTTTGCATTAGTTCCACATATGGACTAAACACAGATTTAATTTTAATTTGAACAGTGTCATCTCGAGTTGAATAATATCAGTCATTCTACACAATGACTTAGTAAACTAGCTAACAGAAGAAAAACACAACAGAACTCGATGAAATAAACAAAAATCTAATTTCCGAATGTTGATCATTTGATATTTTCTCTTCAGATACTTTGTTTATTTTTGTTTATTTCTTAGTTCAGAACGATTGGGCAAAACGGGATGAGAATTAAATGATGACAATACAGTAAACACTTGTTTGTTAACTGAACAATTTAAACAAATATTTAAAACAGAATTTTAATCAGTATTTCATGCTTATTATGAAATTGACATGAAATAAATTTGACATTACAACTGCTCATATGTCGCATATGGCCTACATATGTATATAACATATGCTGTAAGCAAACAATAAGATTTCCTATTCCCTTGTGTCAGATTCAATAATTCTATATTAAATAAAGT